TTTACCATTGAAATCGATTGGGTAACATACATGAGAAATTTCATTGAATCCTATTGAAAACCATTACTTTAATAGTATATTTTTCTATTGATAATGATTAATCTCGATTAGGAATCAATAGTAATCTATATTATTGGAACCAATAGTATTTAATATCTTGACATTTCTTGTTGGATGAGGAATCATATTCAATGGTCATTTGGAGTGTTCAGATCGAAGATTGAAAACCATTCAGAAATTCTTCAATGGTTTTCAATGGAACTTTTATAGCAGGGATAGCATATGGAAGGAATAGCTAAAACAAAAGAGTGGGGGTGAATCGACTGTAGCACCCTCTAACTTATTAATTTAGTATTAAAGGGTTTATATAGATCTTCAGAATAAAAATATAGTATTGCTTTGAGATACGATTCAGTTCACATATAACAGAGAATAATTGGATTTATACTCTAAAATGGACTATATTTTAGATATTAAATATTTTTATTTGTAAGGATTTTGCTTATTTACCAGAATTATCTAATACTTCATCTACAGTACTTTTTAAACCTCCGCATCATTGGCTCAAACTTCCTATCGAATATCAAGGTATTAATAAATGGCTGGAATTACATCATCATCGTATTTAATTTTTATTATTATTAATTAACATTGATTTTACCTGAAATATTTAATATCTTTAATTTTATAGGTGTATTATGGAGAAATAGTATAATACTATATAATTTTTTAAATTGCACTATACGTAGTCATTTACATTGTAACACTGAACTTACACGTTTGAAGAATTATCGTATTGATAATTCTCACGAGCCATACAATGGGCTCGTGCCCGAGCGCCGTGTCACTAATCATTTTAAAGGGGAAAGTGCGGGAGGCTCTTTCGCTCCACTGCAACGGATACGATGGGCCTCGTCACAAAGTTGGCATGATATGTTACATGTATAAATCGTATCGCTAAATTATTTGTAGTAATAATATAATTGTAAGTCGGTCTTATTTATGTAGCACCCTCATCATCGCATTTATATTTGAATCTGTATAATACTTGTTTTAGTTTGCTCGCTTCATATGATCTGTTTCGTTCGCTCTTGCTTAGTCTGTCTCGCTCGCTCTCGTCTAGTCTGTCTCGTTCGCTCTCATTTAGTCTGTACCGCTCTTCAAGATAGCCGCCTTCGCTCCCGCGTGTCAACCTCGTGCTCTGTTGTCGGTCTCCGAAGCGTCTCCTGGAACGCTCCCCTATGGTTGTGTGATACTCGTGTGTGTCCGGGTGTTGTGTGTGTGTTTCCGGGTGTTAACAGTGATCAACCGCAGTGTCAGTGTGTGTGGCGCTCAGAATGTCGCCGATGGTGCGCAGCAACCTGACACAGTTGGTTGCCGGCTATCCCTTCATCGACGATTTTCTGTTCGCCCCAGATGTGCCAGCATCTTTATAGTGTTTGTGTCAGTGTTGGGAAGTATAAGAAGTCCGCAGATTTCGCTCACATACATTTTTGTTGCATTTTTCTGTCAAGTTTCCCGTGCGTTTTCCTCTAACTAGCAACACGAGGTCGTGAGTGTGTGTATGCATGCGCTCTCTTTTTCTCTTAGTGCGTTCCATTTTTCGTTCATCCGTCGGATCGCGTTTTTCAACTTGTTACATCGTTTTCTCAGGTTTGGGTGGACGGATATAGAAAATAATTTTTGTTCGAATTAGGATGCGCATAGTTTATAATTATACGGCTGGTTACAAGGAGGCAGGGAACGGAGGTGACTTTCCTGAGGTGTTGCAAATAATGCAACACTCTCAAGCAAAGTCTTGTAACGTACCGCATTACACATTTCTGACGTTGGGAATTATTGAAGAGGATGATGAATGAAGTAAAGCTATGAGGGAAGTAATGTTTTGGATGATGCCAAAACTTGTCAGACATTTATTTGTTCTTATACCGATTCACTGTCAACCTATTTATCCAGAAAAATTATGGGAAACATTTAATGATTCAATGTCTCAAGATTTTTTACGTAACGATTTGAATATCAGCTATCAAATGGCCTACTCCGAAATAAATAATATTTTAATTAAGGAAGGAAAAAGTATTGCTGACTTCTCAACAATGGACCAAAATGTAATGATTGATATTGTCAATAATTATGAGAATGATGTTGGTAATCATCGATTACAAATTGGCAATCAAGAATATAAAAAATTAAACGACGAACAAAAAAAAACTTGATAACATTCTTAAAGCATCACGTTCAGATAATTACATTGGCTCTACTTATTTTTATGCTTTAAATGTTCAGCAATGGAATACACTGGCATTGCCGCAACTTATTACCTAATGGAAAAACAGTACATAACACTTTTGGCTTACGAGTTCTAATGTTGAATGATTCATCATCAAATATTAAAATACAATCTAATGAAGGCATGATTTTAAAAGATACTAAAGTGTTTATTTGTGATGAGGCTCCTATGGCTCCCAGATAAGCTTTAGAAATTGTAAATAGAACATTACAATATATAATGAACAATGATCAACCATTTGGTGGTAAAATAATGGTTTTAGGTGGTGACTTTAGATAATTGCTTTCGATTAAAGTCAATGAAATGCGCAGTGAAATACTAAATTTTGTCTATTAAATACTCATAATTATAGACATTCTTTTCGTTATTTCACTTGAAAATTAACACGAGAGTTTTACCGCATGAAATTGATTTTGCTAAATATTTGTTGGATGTTGGTAATGGAGCATTAAATGATCATGATAATAATATTAAGCTTCCTTAACAATGTCTATTACCAGAAAATGAATATATTGTTCAAAACACTTTCGGTAATTTAATATAAGAGAAAAAATTTGATGAAATTAGTTATTGTGCAATTTTATCTGCCAGAAATGCTGATGTAGATGAAATTAATTATTGTATAATTAATTTGTTTGATAAAAGTACAGAGCACATTTACACAGGCATACACAGCTCTGAAAATTGTAATAATGGTGTTATGGAAGAAGTACTAGTACTTTTACCAGAATATCTTAACACATTGAACCCTCCTAAGTCCCCATCAATTACGTTTACGAAAATTTTGCATAGTGATGTTGATTAGAAATATTAGTCTTTGAGAAGGATTGTGTAATGGAACAAGATTACAATTACTTGATTATCCTAATCATTTATAAAAATTTAAAATACTGACAGACGACGAGTGCAATAACATTGTATTTCTCAATCAAATTACGTTGTATTGTGAAAATCAATATCCATTCACGTTTAAAAGACAACAGTTTCCAATTCGATTGGCTTTTGCTATAACTATTGATAAATCTCAAGGACAAATTTTGGATTAAATTAATAATGATCTTCGAAAAGATGTTTTTAATCATGGTCAACTTTATGTTGCCATGTTCAGAGTGAGATCATGTGAATCATTAAAAATGTATTTAGGTAATCAAAAACATTATTCTTTAGTTAAAAATTATGTTTATAGAGAATTATATCATTGATATTATTTTAATAAATTTTACAAATTTCAATTTTTATTATATATACATATATGTAATGTATACATATGAGGGTGGTCCGATAAGTACTTAGACTCACCGCCCGATGGCGCCACTCTCGCAAAAGAAATATTCTATCACGTAGTACAACCTTCTCGATGGTTACTGTCAAGATTTCAGCCGGATCGGAGTTGTAGTTTATTTTTGAGAGCGTGTGAAAGCAAGTGTGTCCGTTGATTTTTGAAAAATGGAAAAAGAGCAGTATCGGTCGGTGATTCGATTCTTGTTTTTGGAAGGAAAATCGCGCAGCGAAATCAAAAAGCGCTTAGATGCTGTGTACGGTAACTCTTCTCCTTCGATGGCGACCGTCAAAAATTGGTTTAACGAGTTTCAACGTGGTCGCTTGTCGATTTTTGAAGAGCCACATCCAGGTGCTCCGAAAACGGCTACCACGGAGAATAGCGTGACAAAAATTCACGATCTCGTATTGGCAGATCGACGATTGAAGGTGCGCGAGATAGCTGAGATCGTAGGCATTTCAAAAGACCGCGTGGGTCATGTCCTGCATGAAATTTTGGGTATGAGAAAGCTGTCGGTGCCGTGGGTACCGCATTTGCTCACTCCGGACAACAAGCGCAACCGTGAGATAACTTTAGAGCAGTGTCTGATGCTGTTTAAGCGCAATCCGAAGGAGTTTCTGTGTCATTTCGTGACCGTTGATGAAACATGGATCCAGTATACCACTATACATACCAGAGACAAAGGAACAGTAGAAATAGTGGACTTTACCCGGCGAAAGTGCTCCGAAGAAGGCGAAGACTGCCCCATCGGCCGGAAAGGTGATGGCCACCGTTTTCTGGGATTTACAAGGTGTGATCTACGTCGACTACCTGGAGAGGGGCAAAACGGTCACAGGGCTGTACTATGCCGAATTATTGGGCAGATTCGACGTCAAATTGCAGAAAAAACGGTCCCATTTGGCGAGGAAAAAAGTGCTCTTCCAACATGACAACGCACCGGCTCACACCTCCGCCGTCGCCATGGCCAAATTGGTCAAATTAGGCTACGAACTGCTGCCCCATCCACCGTATTCTCCAGATTTAGCCCCGTGCGACTTCTTTTTGTTTCCAAACTTGAAAAAGTCACTCGCCGGGCAGAAATTTGCGTCGAATGAGGAGGTAATCGCTGCCACGGAAGCCTACTTTTCAGACCTCGAGGAAACGAATTTTTCAGACGGGTTAAAGAAGTTGGAGCATCGCTGGGCCAAGTGTATCGAACTAAAAGAAGACTATGTCGAAAAATAAAACGCCACTTTTCCAAAATTTTTGTTTTTCTTTTGTAGGCTAAGTACTTATCGGACCACCCTCGTATGTGTAAATTTGCGGGCGCTACGCGCGCTATGATGTTCTAGTTAAATAAAACCTTTGATATTTGTTTTAACTAAATGGTTATTGGGTTAATGGGACATAATACAAAAGACAAAATATGACGAATAATTTCAAAAATATTACTTGTTGAAGTTGTTGCTGTAATTGCTGCATTTGTAATTGCTGTTGTTGTTGTATCTGTTGATGTAAAATATGATGTACATTTGTATTGTTTCCATTGCTTCCACAAGCATGAATATTAGTGTTCAATCCAATATTCCCTCCTAAAAATATAAAATATTTGATTTTCCAAAAAAATCGAAAATAAATCTTTTTATAATGTTTTGATCAATTTTTATAACGTTTTATAGTAAATGTATAAAACACAAAAAAGAAAACTTTTAATTTCTGCATTGTTTCAAACTGGATTATTTATAATTTTCATCGATTTAGGATATACACTATTATATCATTTATGTTGTAATGCGTTTCTAAAGAATTCTTTATTTTCCCGTATATTCAATTATCATTTCCATAGCGAACTAAAATACTTAAAAATAAAATATTAATGATTTTCGCGATTTTACGCCGATCATCGAAGAATACATTGTACTATCAAAAAATACAGTGGAAGAGATTATCATTTTGTGTTTATTTGATGGAATGCTTGTTTGTTTACTTGTACTCCCGAGTTATAAATTTTCATTTTCTAAATGGGTTATTCTTGGCTATTTCGATTGACTTGTAACCCTTAGGTTATGGATTTTTTTTTAAATTTGGCTCAATTGTTGTACACATAAAAGTGAAATTTTTCCCAAATTTTGATCACAATATATTAATTATGTCTAAAGTTATTAATGAAAAATGATAAAAAAATTTCAAACTGCTATATTTTAAAAACTAATAAAGATATCGAAGTCGGATTTTTTTTCAAAATACTGTAACGTGCTCTGTGCGATAGTATTAGTACTCCCAGACTAGCTAATGTCGACAACAATTAGCATCGCACCACACGTCGCAGGAGGAGTTCCGGTTAGCTCAGGTGTACGCAATCGCAGCGCTAGCGATTGCCCGCGGAGAGGCGTGCGTTCGTACTCCTGCTTAAACCTGTAATGTACCTGCAATTGAAGAGGAATGCGAGCGTCCAGTAAAAGACGGTCCGGAATTGACTTCCATATCCCTTTATTGAATCGTTACTCTTACAGTGCCAAAGGCACGCGTCAACCTTTCGCAGCGGTTGTCGCTATTTCCACATCGGCTCGCCTCGCCTCGCTAACGTACAAAACTAGTCGGCTCCGCCGAGCTGACTCTCGCACAGCTATGTGCTTCTTGGGAGAGAGAGAGAGAGAGTAAAGTACGGCAATGCTTACGCTTATGCGATGGACATCACGGTCCTTTCCTCGGTTTGCACTCGCTCGTCCGATATTTTACCTCCTCGATATGCACTGCCAGGAGGGGCCTTCGCCGCGTGCGCTTGCTGGGCCGACGGTGAAGCCGTCCGTTAGGGTCGTTCGTCGTCAAGGTCACGCGCGAGCGACGAGTCTTCGGTGCTGTCGCGGAAGATGCGTCGCGTGCCGCGAACGGAGCGAAAAAGCCACGGGGCCTCGTTCGTGTGATATTCGGCGGCCGATATCTTCGCCGCTCCCCACTCTGTTTCTAATTCGCACTTCGTGGTTATCTATGTGTGCTTGATAGTCGCGAGCGCGCTGCCCTCTCTTCGGTCCTAGCTCTCTCTCTCTCTCTCTCTGTACAGGTCGTAGGTTCGTCAGCAGCTCGTGTGCGCGGCTCCTGACGCTTGTCTGTGGTATTAATATGTGTGACGTCGTAAGCTATCGCTTACCACGTTACAATACTTATAATGCCTTAAAATTTCGAAATAATTACAACAATAAACGATATAAAAATTTTTTCAAACGTTATTAATTTTTTGTTTCAACAATTGCTAATAGCTCAAAAAGTATATTTTTTTTGAAAAATTCTTACTACTGCGTGTTTTTGAGGATTTTTGCTATTGAAATCAGTCATAAAATTCAAGAGCCCGACATATTGGAAAACATAGCTCTAATTAAAAGAAAACGCCACAGCGTATGAACACGAAGACGTCCTGCTGCCGTTGTGACCGTACACCAAGGCATCTTATTTTGATTAGGGCTACGCCTTCAAAATTCTTGCTAGCAAAATTCTGGCTAGCAAAATTCTTGCTCCTGCGTGTTTTTGAGGATTTTTGCTATTGAAATCAGTCATAAAATTCAAGAGCCCGACATATTGGAAAACATAGCTCTAATTAAAAGAAAACGCCACAGCGTAAGACCACGAAGACGTCCTGTTGCCGTTGCGACCGTACACCAAGGCATCCTATTTTGATTAGGGCTACGCCTTCTGATATGTCAGGCCCTTGAATTTTATGACTGATTTCGATGGCAAAAATTCTCAGCAATACGCAGGAGCAAGAGTTTTTCAAAAAAAATATATACTTTTTGAGATATTAGCAATTGTTTAAACAAAAAGTTAATACCTTTCGAAAAAAAATTTTAATTATTTATTGTTGTAATATTTTCGAAATTTTAAGACATTATAAGTATTTTGAAAAAATCCGACTTCGATATCTTTATTAGTTTTTAAAATATAGCCGTTTCAAAATTTGTAATTATTTTTGTTTAATTGTTAATAACTTTCGATATAATAAATGTATCGTCATCAAAATTTGGGAAAAATCTCACTTTTATGTGCACAAAAATTGTGCCAAATTAAAAAAAAATCCGTAACTTAAGGGTTACAAGTCAATCGAAATAGCTAAGAATAACCCAAATATGCTAATGCAGTAATGAATATACGCTTTAAGTATGAGGGTGGTCCGATAAGTAGTTAACTTCACCGCCCGATGGCGCCACTCTCGCAAGAGAAATATACTACCATGTAGTACAATCTTGTCGATGATTACTGTCAAAATTTCAGCCGAATCGTACTCATAGTTCTATTGTAACCGCGTATGGAAGCGAGCGTGTTAGAAAAATGGAATCAAAAAGAGCTTGGATGCTGTGTACGGAGACTCTTCTCCTTCGATAGTGACCGCAAAAAATTGGTTTAACGAGTTTCAACGTGGTCGCACGTCGGTTTTTAATGAGCCACGCCCGAAAACGACTACCACGGAGGATAACGTGACAAAAATTCACGATCTCGTATTGGTAGATCGATGATTGAAGGTGCGCGAGATAGCTGAGATCGTAGGCATTTCAAAAAACCGCGTGGGTCATGTCCTGAATGAAATTTTGGGCATGAGAAAGCTGTCGGCGCGATGGGTACCGTATTTGCTCACTCCGGACAACAATCGCAACCGTGAGATAACTTCAGAGCAGTGTCTGATGCTGTTTAAGCGCAATCCGAAGGAGTTTCTGCGTCATTTCGTGACCGTTGATGAAACATGGATCCAGTATACCACTATACATACCAGAGACAAAGGAACAGTAGAAATAGTGGACTTTACCCGGCGAAAGTGCTCCGAAGAAGGCGAAGACTGCCCCATCGGCCGGAAAGGTGATGACCACCGTTTTCTGGGATTCACAAGATGTGATGTACATCAACTACCTGGACACGGGCCAAACGGTCACAGGGCCGTACTATGCCGAATTATTGGGCCGATTCGATGTCGAATTGCTAAAAAAACCGGCCCCTTTTGGCGAAGAAAAAAGTGCTCTTCCACCATGACAATGCACCGACTCACACCTCCGCCGTCGCCATGGCCAAATTGGTCAAATTACGCTACGAACTGCTGCCTCATCCACCGTATTCTCCAGATTTAGCCCCGTACGATTTTTGTTTGTTTCCAAACTTAAAAATGTCGCTCGCCGGGCAGAAATTTGAGTCGAATGAGGAGGTAAACGCCGCCACGGAGGCCTACTTTTCAGACCTCGAAGAAACGTATTTTTCAGACGGGTTAAAGAAGTTGGAGCATCGCTGGGCCAGGTGTATTGAACTAAAAGGAGACCATGTTGAAAAATAAAACGCCACTTTTCCAAAATTTTCGTTTTTCTTTTGTAGCTAAGTAAGTACTTACTTAGCTACAAAAGTACCGGACCAATACCGGTAATACCATAAGTATCGGACCACCCTTGTAATTACTATATAATACCATATTTTCTATGTAAAAGTAAAATAAATTATGAATGCGCGAACAAAATGCAGTTTTATGTGGTCTGCTGATAGGAAACAGACATCATTTTACACATTGTGTAATGGAATTTTTATTATTTTTTTTCTTGTGATATAAATATTTTTTTTATTTAACGTTGCTCTATTTATGCTCTATCAGTGCTAATCAGCGACGGAAGCTTGCAATGTGTTTGAAAACAAAGCATATGAAACTTTTTTCAGTGGTGCTTGTATCAATCAGCAGGGACTAGGAATCAAACCCGGGCCTACTGGGTGCGAGTCCGTCGCCCTACCGACGGAGCCATTGCAGACCTTCGTACTTTTTTACACGATCATAATGATTGAGTTGTACTTATAAAAAATTGTGCTTAAATGTGAAATAATATTATCATTTCTTTTTTTATGCCATATACGAGGGTGGTCCGATAAGTACTTAGCCTACAAAAGAAAAACAAAAATTTTGGAAAAGTGGCGTTTTATTTTTCGACATAGTCTTCTTTTAGTTCGATACACTTGGCCCAGCGATGCTCCAACTTCTTTAACCCGTCTGAAAAATACGTTTCTTCGAGGTCTGAAAAGTAGGCTTCCGTGGCAGCGATTACCTCCTCATTCGACTCAAATTTCTGCCCGGCGAGTGACTTTTTCAAGTTTGGAAACAAAAAGAAATCGCACGGGGCTAAATCTGGAGAATACGGTGGATGGGGCAGCAGTTCGTAGCCTAATTCGACCAATTTGGCAATGGCGACGGCGGAGGTGTGAGCCGGTGCGTTGTCATGGTGGAAGAGCACTTTTTTCTTCGCCAAATGGGACCGTTCTTTCTGCAATTTGACGTCGAATCTGCCCAATAATTCGGCATAGTACAGCCCTGTGACCGTTTTACCCCTCTCCAGGTAGTCGACGTAGATCACACCTTGTAAATCCCAGAAAACGGTGGCCATCACCTTTCCGGCCGAGGGGGCAGTCTTCGCCTTCTTCGGAGCACTTTCGCCGGGTAAAGTCCACTATTTCTACTGTTCCTTTGTCTCTGGTATGTATAGTGGTATACTGGATCCATGTTTCATCAACGGTCACGAAATGACACAGAAACTCCTTCGGATTGCGCTTAAACAGCATCAGACACTGCTCTAAAGTTATC